GTGTAGGGATGAGCACAAAATACTGTAAATTAAATGCTGAATGGCGGTTCATGCAGGGAAAGAACATATCAATATTCGCATATTCGTTCAAAAACATGAAAATTCTTAATGGAGTACCCTCATTTTTTATTGAATTCCTAAAAAATAATATTTATAATGAATTTTAATAATTTTTTTGAATTTTTTTTAAGTTTTATTACGACAGATTCACCCGATTCTCGATCCGGATCTCCGATTCGTCGATCCGGATAGGTTTTTTGGAAACCCTATCCGGATCACCGATCCTTTTTTTAAACCATTGATTTAAACCAATAAAAAAAGGTTAACAATAAAGAAAGAGTTCATGATCAAGGGTACTTTTGTCATATTCGAAAATATCTTAATGTGTGGTCACCTTTAGAAATTGTGTCCCTTTGTCTGAAAAATTGCATATTTTATTAGTTTTTTCCCTACACTTTTTTAGGTAGGAAATATTTCGACACGGCTGCAACGTTATCTAAGGGTGCGGTTGGTATAGATCCGAAGCTCTAAACAATCAAAGTAAAGCCCACCTTCAAATAGTATCTGGAAATATGGTTTAAGTGTTGAAAATTTTTGTGATAGCCTTAAATTATATTTTTATTTTTAATTATAAAATTTAGAGCTTCAAAAATACTGTAGATCAAACAAATCTATGGAAATTTAAAAACCTTGAAAAATGACGGTCCAAAAATGTGTTACAAGATGCATTATTCCAAAACTTGAAAATTGACGTCCAAAAATGTATTATAGATACACTACTCCAAAACTTGAAATTCATTTTTTTTTCATGTCCATGCATCTTAATATCGAAATGGTCAATTTGAGGATATTTGAGCATCAAAACAATCTCTTCTAATAAAATTTTTGAAGTAAGTTCTAATTAGAATGTTTAGATCCTTGACTCTAGATAAACCTTTTCATATAAGGAAAGCCACACACCTCAAAGTATTGAAAATTATAGTTGTGGTCTCAAAAAACTTTCAAATAAATCATTTCGGCTTTGACTATTATGGTTTTAAAAAAATATTAGAATTTCAATATTTAAAAATAATATATATTATAACATATTATCTAAAACTTTTATTGTGAAAAACCTTTACATCAATCATCCAGGTTTGAATATTATGGTTGTGAAAAAAATTTAGAATTTTAAGATCTAAAATAGTGTATATTGTAACAAATTATCTAGACGCGTCTATTTCACCTTAAACAATAAGTGTACTAAGATATTCAAAATCATTACTATTTTTTGAGTTTCAAAATTTATTGGAAGTATTAAAAATTGATTTTGAAGACATCATGGAGCTTTTCGATGCGGAAAGGGCTTTTCGATGCGGAAAGGGTTTTTTGACAAGGATTTGAAGTGAGGCTTTATTATGTTTTCATAAGGCCTAGGCCTTATCAAACTTGATCCTTTATTTCGTTAAGGAGTAAGAAATTAAAAATAAAAGAATTTGTTATGGGTGTGTGAGATTCATCAGCAAGGTCATGTGACCTGACCCAAAAATTTACCTGCCTTTCCATCCCTCTCTCATCACTTTTGTTCTCTCTGATCATCCCTGTCTTTCAGTCCAATCAAATGGAAAAAACCCACTTTTTCTTAATTTAAAATCTCCATTTTACATCTGTATCTGTGTCTTCTTTGGCCTTTTTCCTTGGCGTATATGTACCTTGTTCTGTATTTTTTTTGGTAAAGTGAATGCTGGAATGTGGAATCAAAGAACAAATTAAAGAGAAAGAGGTGGCTTAGAGAGAGAGACACATTCATTCTAGAGAGAGAGGGATCAAATTTATGAGTGATTCGGGAGGGAGACACATTCTAGAGAGAGAAAAGGAGGTAGAGAGAGAGTGTGTTCTGAGCTCTACGATTCAACTTCAGTTTTTGAATGGGTGAGAGAGAGAGACAAAGGAACATTCCCATATGGAAAATGCGGGGATTGGGTTGATTGCTCCACAAGAAACAGAGGAAGAGAAAGGATTGAGTAGGCATTGTTCAGTGTTATAGCTAGTTCAGAATGTTTGGTTTTCAGCATAGTGTTGTTTTGGAGGAATTTAGTTGAAATTTGATGGCACACATATAACCCAAATTCTAGTTTGGAAAAACCGGATTTTTCTTTTGATTCCTTGATTGGTTTTCCAATAGGGGCTTGAGCCTCGGAGAAGATATGGGTTTTATGAAGTTCTCTGGTTTCTGGTGCTTGTAATGGTGATTTTACAACGAAAACACTTGTGTATTGGAGTAAAGCACAGTTACTTTCTTTTGATCGAGAGGATTTTTCATGGTTGAGATAGAATTTCAGTGAAGTTTTAGTTTCTGTTTTCTTTTATGGTCAGTTTTGGATATGGAAAACCAGGTTTCATTGATTGTCACTGAAGTCTTCTATGGCGATTTGAACTGTTTTTTCTGAGAGTTTAGGTGAAATGCTGATAGGGTTTTGTTCGTTCGCTGTAATGGCGGTTTCCGTATTGGAGAAGCCCGAGCACCTTGCTTCTTAGAGAATCTCCATGGTGGGTTTTGTCCTCGAGAGAGAAAATGGAAGAATAATCCGGCTTCTGTTTCTATCCATGGTGATGGTGGTTTTCTACTGGAAAAACCAGAGCTCTTTACTCACTCCAGAGTTCTTTCATAGTGACTTAAGCGGATTTTCTTAGCTAGAGAAGGCTGAATTCTACATTGGTTTTCCCCATTGATTGTTGCAGAGTGGAATAAGCACTCTCTTGGGCCTGTTGGATAGGTCTGTGATGTTGGATTAAGCATTTTCTCTTTAGAGAGAGGGTGGAAATCTCTAATGGAGGTTTCAGTTTCTACTTCTGCTTATAGTGGTTTTTAGGGCCGATCTGGTCTTTGAAGCTTTGTTGGTGGACATTTGGGTTCTAAGTTCTGGGGTTTGGGATAGAAGCTAGTATGGAAGTGAGGGCTTTCCTTTATTGGCAACTTTTGAGCCTGGTATTGGCATTGTTGGGTGATTCATCTTTTGCCACTCTCTCACCTTCTGGTATAAATTATGAAGGTCAGTAGATCCTGAATCTCCTGTTTCTGTTTGCCAACTTTTGTATTTGATTTTCATTATAGTTATATGAAGTACTTTTATCAGAAAAAAATCTGAATTTGAATAAGTTGCAGGTTTGTTGAACTGACATATTATGTATCATTCCCATTTTAACAGGCTTTGTAGCTTTATTTTTTTTTCAGCTGATTTCTTCTTCGAAAATTGGGAAATCTCATAAGTTAACTCTATAATGCTAAATCCCCTCAATCTTTGCTTGTACACCTCTTTTTGCCCCGGTCATTGACTTCTATGTTGGGCTTGGCTTTCTTCTTTATTTTCTTTCTATTTTTATATTATGTATTTATGTGCTCTGAACTCTCTGTATCTTTTTGTATTTTTGTCTTCTCATTTTCTTGGTTTTCTTCTATAGTTGTGGCTTTGATGGCTATTAAGAATGATCTGGTTGACCCACACAATGTTTTGGAGAACTGGGATATGAACTCGGTTGACCCTTGTAGCTGGAGAATGGTTACCTGCTCAGCTGATGGTTATGTTTCTTCTCTGTAAGTTATTATCTCTCTCTCTCTCTCTCTCTCTCTGTCTGTCTGTCTCTCTTCCCAGCTGATGGTTATGTCTCTGGCTTTCTGCTCATTAAATTAATACTCTTCTGTCTTTGTATCTGTTTCAATTTAAGTTCATGGAAGAAAATCTTATTCTTATTTATCTTCAATATCAATCTGTATTATCTGATTACTCAGGCCTTTCTCTCTCTCAGGGGAATGCCAAGTCAGAATTTATCTGGGACCTTATCTCCTGGAATTGGAAACCTCAGTAATCTGCAGAATGTGTAAGTGGGATCAACTTGTTGAGAGAGAGAGAGAGACAGAGAGAGAGCAAAGACATTGTTTTCCCGGAATTTTATTTTTTTCCATAATGGCAAAGTTATTTTCTTTTTTCTAGGTTACTGCAAAGTAATGCGATCATGGGACCTATTCCTTCCGAGATTGTGAGGCTCCAAAAGCTTCAGGCCCTTGACCTCTCAAACAATCGATTCAGTGGGGCAATACCCAGTTCATTGGGGGACCTGAAGAACCTCAACTACCTGTAAGATTTTCAGACTTTTATTTGTCATAAGCTGTGTTGGTATTGACTGGTCTTTCTTTAACCCTCATATTATGTTTGGAGATTTTGTTGTTAATTTATGAGAAATCAATTTGTTTGAGCTCATATTGTTGAAATGAGGTGTTTCTGCAATTTGTCTATTGTTTGAAGATTAATAATGGAATTTGTTTTCTGTTTTATGATCAAGTTAGGCGACTGAATAACAATAGCCTCTCTGGACCATGCCCTGATTCTTTGTCACGTATCAAAGGCCTCACTCTCTTGTATGAGTCTTTCTCTGACCTCTGATGGATCTCTCATTCTCTCTCTGTTTCTCTCTAAATTACACTTACCTCATTCTTTCCCACTACTTTTGACTTATAACCAAAATGATTTTGCAGAGATTTATCATATAACAATCTCAGTGGTTCTCTTCCCAGGATGTCTGCGAGAACATTCAAGTATGATATATTCACCTTCTTACTTTTAACAACTTCTTCTTCCCTCTCCCCATCAAACTTGTGTGCCATTACTAATTTAATCTAATTTGGTCTTATTTTTGAAGTATTGTTGGGAACCCATTAATCTGTGGGCAGGATTCAGCAGCGAACTGTTCATCAATTTCTCCTGAACCACTTCCATTTCCTCCAGAACTTACAAAAGGTGCTCATGGAGCGATCACACACTCACATTCTTTTAATTATTTTTATTCTCTAGTAGTTCAATCTTTATTTTGTTTGCCATAAAAGATCCTTGAAGATCCTTATCAAGGATCTTTTATATGTTAAGTCACAAACTGTAAATGTGTTGGATCTTCAGCTCATTCCCAGTCTGAAGGATCAAAAATCCGAAGAGTGGTTATTCCCCTTGGTGCAAGCCTTGCTTCCTTCTCTTTTCTCATCCTAGTCATCATATCGATCCTTTGGTGGCGTCGAAGACACAACCAACAAGTATTCTTTGATGTTAATGGTTGGTTTTCTTTGTCTTATTCCATCTGTTTATTGTATTTTTCTCTCTGATTGTTTTTTTGTGATATTCACCACTGAATTTCTGGTTTGCTTTTTGGTACCATTATTTCTATTTTTTTTTTTTTTTTTTCTGCCCATTTCAATCTTTGGTTTTGTTTATTTCCATCTCTACCACTTATATCAGTAAATTTTCAGCAAGGCTCTTTTCTTGCTATGCTTCTCTCATGAATTTCTCTTTCTTGATCTTTTATATTAGGCTTAAATTATGTGCCCTTTTTCTTCTCCATTATTAAGTAGGCAACATTTGCCTGATTATCCTGTAATAAGGGACCTATGTTTCTCTGTAGTAGCATTTTATCGAAAATTTCTCTCTCTCTCTCTC